GAGAAGAAGATCGGCCACCGTTTGTTCCGCCTCGGCATCCTCGAAACCATCCAAGTGGGGCGGAGTCAGCACATCCTCCACCTCCTCCTCCTCTTCCTCCTCCTCTTCCTCCTCCTCCTCTTCCTCCTCCTCTTCCCCTCGCCCCCACGCGGCCCCCATGGATGGCCCGAAGAGGCCTTCAAAAGCCCCCCCCTTGCTCCCAGAGATCTCTGTGTTCATCCTGGTTGCTCGCTTTGTTTCCCTAGATGTGTCCCTTCGTCCCTTTTCCCGTCAGCTCTCGTGGGCAGGGCTTCTGACGTTGGCCGTTTTCGGTTCGCGAGAGGGCGTCGCGGCCGTCGTTTTTGCGGGTCCAGGTCCGTCGGTTTCGGTATAAGGCCGTTTTCATTGAAGGGTGGTTTTCTAAAGGGAGGTTTGTTCGCCGCCGACTGAACGAAGGTTGGATAACGAAGGCGGTGCAAGCGGTGAGGCGAAGGAGGGGAGGGGAGCCAAGGGGAGTAAAGCGTGAGCCGGACGGGCATGGCGATGCAACGGTTGACAGGGGCTGGTGGCGTGTCGCAGCCCTCGAAGTGGTAATGGCCGTGTCGCACTGGCATGGTTGCACCCGTGGTTCAACGCTCGACTCGGATCATCCCACCCCGCCCAGAAGTAACGCCACCCCCTGATCGGAAGAAGCGCAAGGCGGATGTTCGACGGCAGAAGCCGGGGTGGACCCCAATTCTGAGATCGCCAGCGGTGGGTTTTGCCCAGAGGGCAATTGGGGATGGAAAGGAGGAAAACGAGTGAGGGGATGGTTCTGGCGGAACTGAGTGTGCAGTGGGAGTGCGGCGAATGATTGTCCGGTTTGATCATTCGCTAGGCGGGTCGCGCTGCAAGGCTGCGGCCGACTATTCTGGTTCAGAGCTCGTCGCCAACCTCCCTCCCAGCCAATACTTCGACCCAATCCTCCCCGACCCACACGAGAGGGAAGGATAATGACGAAGAGGGCAAGCAAGAACAGGAAGGCAGGGGAAGGTTGGGAGAGTGCCACTCATGGCTGGTCTCCGGCCAGAGGCGGTTGCGTTGAGGAGCGTGGCCCATTGTGGGTCCGCGACGAGCTCCTCCAGTGCGTGCTAGGGGACCCACTCGGCCATCGCTTCGTGGTCAAGGTCTTGCCAAGCTGCGGCAGCCACGTCCTCTCTGGCTGCGCCGCCTCTGGTATACTGGCGCTTGGGTTTCATGAAGGCGGCGATTTCGACGGGGTCCACGTTCACGTACGTTTGCTGCATGTGTGGCAAGAGCTGGTGGGATACGGTGTGTGCGCCCTTCTACTGGACGATGACAAGGCGCTCGCGCAGGCCCGCCAGGGTAGATTCGATCGCTACCTCTCCTCTGGGTCCTCAGACTGTTCCTTTAGGTCCTCGAGCTGTCCCTCAAGGGTGTCCTCGAAGACGCGCCACGGTCTCCGAATGCTCAGCGGAATCTGGCTGCTCTCCTATGTGATACCCACGGCTGTAAGGAGCGAGTCCAGCCGTGGCGACGGGGGCGGGGTCCTCGGTGGCATAGCCCGAAGGGCCAGGCGAGGGGGGGCCACCGAGGGGATCCCGAGTGGGGACTCCCATCTTGTCGAAGTCTTCTGGGCGAGTGCCTGGGTCTGCTCTGGGGAGGAGCGCTCGAGAGGGCAGAAGGGAGGGTGGTCTCTCTGAGGCAGTCGAGGATGAGGCGTCGCTCCTGCCAGCCGCTGGCCCGCATCCTCTTGCTGGAGGGTGAGCGGCCGCGGCGGCGGGGCGGGGAGTCGGGCCCTCATCCTCGTGTGCTTCCAGCCTCCTGAGGTTGCCGGCTTCCGTGGTCTCGTCGAGGTCGCCGGCGGCGCTAGTGGCGAAGCTGGCGGTATGGTTGGTGTTGTCGTTGTAGTCGTAGTAGTGGTTGTAGTCGGGGCTGAAGTTCGGCAGCTCGCATTGCTGCTCGTTTTGGTAGTTGTGCGCGAAGGTATCCAAGAACATCTCAGGGATATCGGCGCTGACCGTGACCTGATTCGGCTCGAAGACCTGGGCGACTGGGTTGAGGGTGGTAACGGCCGTGTCGACCCAGCATCCTGGCGGCCATGCCGGGGCTGGACTGGTGCCAGTCATCTCGACGGTGCTGCGCTTGCCTTTGTTCGTCGCGGTCCTTGCCGCCGAGGTTGTGATCGAGGATGGCGGCCACCTCGGCCCAGTCCCTGGCACTGCCTGGGCGGCAGCTCCGTGCGCCGTAGCCGGGACGGGCGCAAAGCCTTCCCTGCGCAGGGGAGCCTAGGGCCTAGGGGCGAGCCCGGGGAGCCCACCACCCGGATGCTTCTCGATGATCGGCCTGGTGTCGCGGGCGCCCCGGCCGCGGGCGCAGGCGCTGTCGCCTGGCGCCAAGGCGCGATCTGGCCGGGTGCCACGCTTAGCCGGCCGCCCTCCTGCGGGAGCCCCCCCCGCCCTTCGGACGGGCTGGGCGGAGAGGTAACACACAAACGCGGGAAGGGCAGCAGAGAGCGCTCTTTTCCCTCTACTCATCCATCAACTGCTGCCTCCGCCGCCTCCTCCTCCTCCTCCTCTCCTTCCTGCTCCTGCTCCTCATTTCTCCTCCCCCTCCTCTCCCTCCTTCTTCCCTCTCTCATCCTCCTCATCTACTCATGCTCCTGCCCTGGAGCATACCTTCACTACCCACTCCTCTCTGGCCTACTCCTCTCCTGCCTCTCCTCTCATCCTCTCCTCCTTCTCATTCTCCTTCTCCTTCTCCTTCGCCTGCTATCTCATTCCTCCCTTCTCTTATCTCCTTGCACTACTGTACTGGACGCCCCCTCCGTCCCTCTCCCAATCTTCCTCCCACCCCTCACGCGCCTGACGAGAGGAGATGCCCAGACTGATGACCTCGGGCGAGCCGCGTGGACCTTGCGCCGGCAGGCGCCAGACCCTGCGGACGGTATTTATCGCGGACAGGGAGGAGGATGGAGGAGGCGGGAGGAGGAGGAGGAGGAGGAGGAGGAGGAGGAGGAGGGAGGAGTTGGAGGAGGAGGAGGAGGAGGAGGGGGAGGAGGAGAGGAGGAGGAGGAGCGCGACGAAACAACGGAGAAGGCGGTCGAGGAGGAGGAGGAGGAGGAGGAGGAGGAGGAGGAGGAGGAGGAGGAGGAGGCAAAAAAGAAGAGGAGGAGGATCACTGACCAAACTGCCAGGTCAGCGAGTGGGCCGCCATTGAACAGTCCTGCCAGGGCGCTGGGCGCAATGAGGAACTGCCAATGGGGGGCACCGATTGCTTGGGGAAACCCCAATTCGCAGCCTGTTCCACGGGGTTGCTAACGAGGTCCCGCCCTGCCTAGCAGCCCCAAATCAAGAGCACTGTGCCCGGCGAAGTGGAAGAGCATGTGGGGGGAGTTACCTGTGACAATTTTTGCCCGGCTCTGGCGGGTTACGTTGCCATCTCTCCCTCTCTCTCTCTCTGTCCAGGTGGCGCAAGCGCGATGTATCCATCCCGAGGGGCGGGGATACAGAAGCGGGAGCGGGAGTGAGTCGAGTACAAAGGGGACTCAGGTTGGGACGAGCAGGGGAAAGGAGGGTGGAGGAGAGAGGATGACCGAGCGTAACGGTCTGGACGTTCATCCGCCCACGGTGGCCGCAACAAAATAAAACCAAGTTCTGTCGGCCGGATTCGAAGGCAGCGCTCGTGTCGCGGACTTTGTGCGCCAGCGTGTCACGGATTCGGTGCGGCAGCTCAGTGGTCCAGGGGGGGGTGGCAACGCCATTCCCTGCGCCGAAGGCTGTCCGGCGAACGTGGCCGAAACTATTATGCGCCTGGGGGGTCAGGATTTGTTCGCCCAGACTTTCTGGCTAGGCCCGAAGATTCACCTCCCCTAGGGCTACCCCACAGCAGGGCATCGCATTACCTGTCGGCCCCCCTCGCTGCTTCCTTCCAGTCGCCGTGACGCCAAGCGACTGCGAAACGCGAGGAGCGATGGCGACCCGGACGCTATGAAGTAATGCCGCGATTGGCAATCTAACTGGTACGGCAAAAACAATGCACAATTTTCCAGCCAAGGGAGGGAGATTGGGAAGCCTGGCCTTGAGGAGGCGCAGGAACGATGAGGATGATGATGTGGGTCAGCGGGTCCGGCTACAAGGGATCCCCTTGGGACTGCTCCCCCCCGGGAACCCTCCGCACATGCAGCATAATGCCGCCGAGTTACCTGGGCGCCAGGACTCGCGTGGAGGAGGCGATGAGGACCGCGCATCTGGGTATAAACAGCTAGATGCAAGAACTCGTAGTTGGGTGTACAAGACCAGGCTGCGCAAGCGCGATGCATCCATCCCTAAGGGCGGGGAGGACGAGGAGGAGGAGGAAGAGGAGGAGGGGAAGGCGCGGACGAGGTTTTCAGAAACGCGCCAGAACACTCACGCACTAAAGGGCTTGTGGGACTTCCACAAACAGGGCGGGCAGGCACTCCACCACCTCGAAGCCTTCGGGTGTGACGGGGGATGGTGCTGCCTCATTCCTGAGGTCTGGACCACTTCCGTAGGGCCTGCTTTTCATTCTGGATCGTTCTTGGACGGTCCCCAGGCCCGGGGAGGGCTCCCGGAGGCCGGACATCGTCGAAAACCTGCAGCTCACATTTTTCTGGAGCATCGGATCTCTGGGCCTACGCCTGCGCTGGGCCTTCCGCCCTGCGCGCCCTTTTCCCAGCGAGGTGCTCCCGCTGTGCACCCTCCGCGGGGCGGCCGGCGACGGGCAGATGGACCTGGGCGGCCGGGCGCGCTGGAGCTCTCCGCCACAGGCGGGCAACTGTGGCAGCGGGGGGCGGCTGCCCTGGGGGCGACGGGGGAGGAGGAGGAGGAGGAGGAGGAGGAGGAGGAGTGAGGAGGGCGGAGGAGGAGGAAGGAGGAGAGGAGGAGGAGGAGGACGGAGTAGGAGGAGGAGGCGGAGGAGGAGGAGGAGGGGGGAGGAGGAGGAGGAGGAGGAGGAGGGAGGCAGGAGGAGTAGGAGGAGGAGGAGGAGGAGGAGTGAGGAGGCGGAGGAGGAGGAGGATGAGGAGGAGGAGGAGGAGGAGGAGGAGGAGTGAGGAGGAGGTGGAGGAGGAGGAGAGAGGAGGAGGAGGAGGAGGAGGAGGGAAGGGAGGAGGGGGAGGAGGATGAGGAGGCGGGCGGAGGAGGAAGGAGGAGAGGAGGAGGAAGCAGAAAGGGGAGGAGGAAGCAGGAGCAGGAGGAGGAGGAGGAGGGGGCGCAGGCCTTGTCGCCAGCCGCCGCTGCCCTGCGGGGAGGCGGGGGGGAGGCGGGAGTGCGGCGAAGGAGGAGGGGGGGGCGGGGGAATGGGCAGGCTGGGGCAGGGGGGCAGGGCACGGGAGGCGGAGGAGGCGGGGGAGGGGGAGGGGTGTGAGTTGGGGAGGGGGAGGGCCAGAGAAGGGCGGGGGGCGGGAAGGAGGAGGAGGAGGAGGAGGAGGAGGAGGAGGAGGAGGTTCTCGAGGCCGGGGGATTGTGGAGCCCCTCCTCGTTTTCATATGGTTTTTCGCCGTGATCCGCTCATGTTATTCTTCCATCGCGATATCGTTCTCTCGTGTTCTCTCTCTCTCTCTCTTTGTCTCACTCTGTCTATCTCCTGCACCAGGCCAACGCATGCCGATGCGATACGAATCCATTGCCAACCCATGTCAATGCCAATGCAATGCCAGTGGGGGAGTCCTTCCGTTCGGTGGATTTCAATAAGAATCCCCCGTTCTCGAGGAGGAGGGAGAGGAGGAGCAGGATGAGGAGGAGGAGGAGGAGCAGCAGCAGCAGCAGCAGCAGCAGAGAGGAGGAGAGAGGAGGAGGAGTGAGGAAGGAGGAGGAGGAGGAGGAGGAGGAGGAGGAGTGAGGAGGAGGAGGAGGAGGAGGAGGAGGAGGAGGAGGAGGAGGGGAGGAGGAGGAGGAGGAGGAGCGAGGAGGAGGAGGAGGAGGAGAGGAGGAGGAGGAGGAGGAGGAGGAGAGAGAGGAGGAGGAGAGAGAGGAGGAGAGAGAGGAGGAGGCGGAGACGGATGCGGAGGTTGCGTGCTGACAGTCCTGAGTCGCAATGCAGCTCTGGGGACTTCAGCACCGCGAATCAAGGTGACTGTTGCGTCCTGTCAATCCTAGATCGCTCCAGAAAGCCATCCCTGGGACTTCAACCACACGCATCCTCAAAACTGCTGCAAGCTTTGAGGGCGAATGTACACGGTGGCAATGCGAAGGCCACACTTTAAAAAGCGACCCGCCCTCCATTATGAAGCTGTTGCAAGCTGTTGCGACGAGTGTGCGTGGCGGAAAGTTGAGAGCCACATTTGGAAGACGGTCCACCTTCTGTCCGTGAATATGCTGCAGGTTTGGGAGACGAATGTGCGGGGCGCTGTGGCGAGAACCAAACTTTAAAGACGATCCGCCCGCCCTCTGGGAATCTCTTCCACATTTCAAGCTTCAGTGTCCTACGCGGTATGGATTTCCCAGGCGCGACAGGGAGACGCGATTTATAAGGAGCTGGGACGGAAGAGGAGGAGGAGGACGACCAGTGTAAAATCAAGACGCGCCAACGATGTTGCAAAAAACTTTCTCTTCGAATTCTCTCTTTCCTAAAAGGTTGTTCTTCCTGTGGGAATTGGCCGATTCGAAGACAAGCGTTAGAGGTTCCTCGGTGGTGCCGAATCCAGTTCCTGTGACTCAAACGCCGCGGATCAACGTGACCGTTGCGTCCCGACAGCCCTAAATCTTGTTACAACGCCGTCTTTTGGGACTTTAGCACCGCGAATCAACCTTTGACTGTTGCGTGCTGACAGTCCTAAGTCGCGTCAGGGTGCGATTCCTGTGACTTCGGTCGTGCGCACCACTGGAACTGCTGCAGGCGTTCATGGCGAACGTGCGCGGCGCTGTGGCGAGAACCACATTTTGAGCAGGCGCCGCCCTCCATCCTTGAACGTGCCGCACGCGTTTCCGACGCGTGTGCGCGGCGTTCGGGCGGGAACCGCCTTTTGAAGACGGCCCGCTTCCCGCCTGTTGCGGAGTTGTAGGACGACGGTGCGCGAGGCGACAGCCACGTTTTGGTAACGACCCGCCCTCCAGCCGTGAGCCCGCTGCAGGCTGTCCAGGCGAGTCTTCGCGGCGCTGCGGCGGGGGCCACGCTTTGAGAACGACCAGTCCCCCATCCGTGAAGCCGTCTGCGCCGTTTGAAGACGAATGTCGGTCCTCGAGTGCGGGAGGAGGAGGAGGAGGAGGAGGAGGAGGAGGAGGAGGAGGATAGGGGATAGAGGATGGAGGCGGAGGAGGAGGAGGAGGAGGAGCAGGAGGAGCAGGAGGAGGATCAGGAGGAGGAGGCGGGGGAGGAGGAGGATGATGAGGAGGAAGGCACCACTCTGGCGTGACGAAGCTTGTTGCGGGCGCCCCCCCGCATGTGCGCGGCGCTAAGATGAGATCCACATTTGGAAGACGGTCCGCCTTCCGTCTGTGAATGTGTCACGAAGTTTCGAGACGAGTGGGCGTGAGGCTAGAGCCACATGGTGAAAACGACCCGCCCTCCATCCGTGAACCTGTTGCAAATTTCCAGCTTCAGGGTCATAGTTGGCGAGGAAGTCTCAGGCGAAACGCCCAGCCCGCCCAACCGACACGTCTGGGGGCGTTACAGGGAGGAGTTACCTGCAAGGAAAAGGGATGGAGACGGAGGAGAAGGAGGAGGAGGAGGAGGAGGAGGAGGAGGATGAGGAGGAGGAGGAGCAGGAGGCAGCAGGATGAAGGGGAGGAGAGCGGGCCCTTCTCGCCAGCCGCCCACTGGTCGATTCGGGGCGTCGGGGGTTGCGGTGGCGGGGAGGAGGTAGGAGGCCTTAGGGGGCAATGTTGGGAGGGGTGGCAGGCAGTGGAGGTGAGGAGTCGGGGGGGAGGGGGGGGTGTTGAGCTGGTGGAAGGGGGAGGCCAGAGAAGGGCGGGGGCTGGGAGGGGGCGGGAGGAGGAGAGAGGAGGAGGAGGAGGGAGGAGGAGGAGGAGGAGGAGGAGGAGGAGGAGGAGGGAAGGAGGCGGAGGAGGAGGGGAGAACGAGGAGGAGGAGGAGGAGGAGGAGGAGGTAGGAGGAGGAGGATGAGCAGGAGGATGCGGAGCTCCTTCCGCTCGTTCTATTTCTCGCACTCGTTCTTCCCTGTTCCGCATTCTGGGTGTCTCACCTCCGCCTTGGCCGCTCACCGCTCGACCCCTCCCCGCCTCGCTCCCTCCAGCCTTGAGCCTCCCGTCGTTCCTCTCGCTCTCTTCGCCGTCACGCTTGAGGGCCACCTGCTCCGCCCTCGCACTCCGTCAAACTATCATCGGCTTCAGTCTTCATGAGGATGATGGCGACGACGGCGACGACGACGACTACGATGACGATGCTGATGTTGATGGCGATGATCATGATGCTGCTGCTGATGATGATACTGCAGTGCCGTTTTTAATACATGCTCCGCGTGCGGAACATGTATTAAACATGCAGGGATCTGGTATTAAAAACAACGATGAGTTCATGCATACATTTATTCATACATTAATCCCATGTGTTAAACATCTTAAATGTTAAATCCCATGTATTACAAACTGCCCTGTACTGATAATTTGAGTGGGTTGGAGACCTTTCGCAAGGGGCCTGTCTTCTTAAGACCAGACCGGAGTATTGTGGTTCATGTTCCGTTCGGAGCAGGCCCTGTTTCATCCCCCCTCCCAATCACCCAAATTGAACGGTGCATGTTATCCCTCCCAATCACCCCCTGAACCTGATTCCTTTACGGCCGCAGAACATGAACAGAGAGTTAGGGCTATGCTAACTTACGCTATGGCCGCAATTAATGAACGTCTCATGTTCCGAATCCCCTAAAATATGTACCGGGAGTTTGGGGTATGCTAATTCCCACTATGGCCGCAACGGTTCAGTTATGCGGGAAAGAAAAGGAACTTATCATTTTTACAGAGGGTCGAAAAACTGAACCGTTCAATTATCAGTGTCGGGGATTTTCATCGTTCATTGTGTGCGGGTTGAGAAACTGAACGTTTAATCTCAGGGTCGGGGAAATGAACCATTCATTACGTGGGGGGGTGGAAAATGAACCGTAATTTTTCGATGGGGTTTAGAACATAAACTGTTTATTTTTCTCGGGTCGGGGAAATGAGCGTTTCATGCTGGGGACTGGGGAATCGAGCCAGTTGAGATGAACCAGCTGCGTTGGGCGCTTAGAAAACGAACCACGTTCCAATGAATGTGTTGCTTGGGCTATAAGGGTGAAAGGGTTTAATCCAGTCAGAATATGATGGTGATGATGCTGATGATGCTGAAAATGATGATGATGATGACGATGATGACGATGATGACGATGATGATGATGCTGATGCTGATGCTGATGCCGATGCTGCTTATGATGTAAATGATGCTGCTGATGATGCAAATGATGATGCTGTTGATGATGCTGATGATGATGCTGTTGATAATGATGACGATGATAATGATGATGATGGTGGTGATGATGATGCTGCTGATGATGCTGATGATGCTGATTATGATGCTGATGATTATGCTCATGATGCCGATGATTCCAATGATGCCGACTATGATGATGCTGCTGATGATGCTGATGATGATGCTATGCTGACGGTGATGATGATGGACATGGTGATGATGGTGATGCTGATCGTGATGATGATGATGATGATGATGATGATGATGATGATGATGATGGTGGTGGTGGTGGTGGTGGTGGTGGTGGTGATGATGATGATGAATGATGATGATAATGATCATGCGGATGATTTTGAGGCTGCTGCTGCTGGTGATGATGGTGACGAGGAGGATGGCGATGATGGCAATGGTGGTGGTAGCGATGATGATGAGCAGACTTACTAGGTGTACGGGAGTATGGCTGAGGCGAGGAGCGAGCGCTGCGGCGTCTCTCCGTAATTCGCCGTTTGGGCGCAGGCTGGCCAAAACCGGCTCCGTGCGGCGCCGCTCCCCCTCCCCCACCCCCCTTTCCCGCGATCCGCTTGCCGTGGCAGGCAGACCATTCGCTGCCCTTTGCCTGCCTTCTCGCGCGACCTTCTCCCCGCACTGCAGCCGGGGTGTGCCTCGCACGACCGCCTGTGGAGTAACACCGCCTGCTGCCCACTGCCTGCCTTCTCGCACGAACTGATCCCCGCACTGCGGCTGAGATATACCTCGCGCGATCGGACCAGTGCCTCATTCTACCAGTGCTACCAGTGCCTCACTTCTCGCGCGACCGGACCCCCGTGCTGCAGCTGAGGATCTGTCCCTCGAGCGCCCTCCTCGCACGAGCTCACCCCTGCGTTGTAGCTGGTATGTGTCTCGCACGACCCCCGCTTGCAGCAGCAGAGCCCGCTGCCACCGTCTGCCTTGGCGCACGATCTGAACCCCGCGGTGTAGCTGAGATGTGTATCGCACGACACCCATGCACCAATGGAGCCTTCTGCCACTGCCTGGCTTCTCGCACGATCGGGCGCCTGCACTGTAGCTGAGGACCTGTTCCATGAGCGCCCTGCTCGCAGGAGGTCGCCCCTGGATTGTCCTGTAGACGTGTCTCGCACGACACCCGCGTGCAGCAGCAGCTCCCGCTGCCACTGCCTGCCTTCTCTCACGACCTGGCCCCTCCACTGTAGCCGAAGATCTTCCCCCGCGAGATCTCGTAGGCGAAGAACCGCGGCCTC